GAAGGACATGATGTTTGCTATAAACCATACTCATCCTCTCATACACTTTAAATCACCTCTAGATTACTTACAATACCAAATGTAATGTGAAGGCTATGTAAATAGTTGCTATGCTGGATTGTTTAGGGAGCAAATCTATTCAACACAGATGCATTTTTTTCTGAATATTTTGGAACTATGATTGGTTGAATCATGGATGCACAAGTAGGGATGACCAATTGTACATTTAAAAAGTCTAGGCTTAGAGGAGCAGATGTAATTTAATTAAATKAAATATCCGCAGAGCACAATAAAAGTAGCAGGTACCTGCCACCACCCTCTAACTGAGAAATCTTCCTCCTTTTCCGTTGTGTATTATTTTCCTTCTGAAACCAGTTGTTTCCTCATGAATATATTTCTGTCACTATAATAAATACCTGAGATAAAGTAATTTATAAAAAGAAAAGAATATTTTGGCTCATAACATGAAGATGAAAGGTGTAGTTTTTGATCAATCAGCTTGGTTGTTTGGGGCCTGTGGTGGTACATCACAGCAAGAGCACATGGTAAAGCAAAATCATTTTTCTCATGACTGGGTTGAAGGAAAATAAAAGAGGAAGAGAAGGGGTTCCCCATATCCTCTTCAGGGGATGCCCCTAATGACCAGAAGACTCGACCTTATAATGTTTTCCATCACCTCCCCAAAGCACCAACCTGGGGACCAAGCCTTCAACACATGGACATTTGGGGTCCTTCTGGATCCACACCAGAGCACCATCAGTCCCACTGACACCCAGACTGGATGAACTCAGGTCCTGGTGTGATGGGGAGCCTTCAGAAGGCAGGACGTTCATCTTCTGCAAAGGCAGTCATGGAGTCTCCTCTTGGAGTGAGCCCACTAGAGACAGGAGCAGAACCTTGCAGCTGCTGCTGCTGCTGACACCCTCAGAACAGGTTTGGGGTGATTCYTGGACATGGTCAGCAATTGTGTCATCTTCTGATTTAAACTCGGGGGAGGAAATAAAAAGCAGAACCACATGGTAAAGGATTCCCAAGGGGTCTTTTTTTGCTGAGAAAAATAATGGGCAACTCTGATTCCTTTCCCAGGTGAACCAACCACACCACCAAGACCTCCCCGACTGTCCACAGAATGAAAAGAAAAAAGAAAAAAAGTGGCTCAGCATCTCATCTGGCTGAGGGAGGACAGCAATGTCAGATCTACCCTGAGTGTTCCCTTGGTCCTTTCTACTACCTAAAGCACACAGTGGCTGTATGATGCTAAGCAGAGCAGCCCCTCCCTCATTAGAAAGACCTGTTTTACTTTATTTTATATATTTGTTAGTTTTGATGCTGGGGATTGGAACCAGGACTTCATGCTTTCTAAGTCCATACTTTAGAACTGAGCTACACCCCCAGTCCAATTTTGCTTTATTTAAACAATAAAAGTTTTCCTTTTTACTCAACCTACCCAGCTCAAATGTAAGTGGGATTTGTCAGCTATCTGGTTAATTTTGTTTGTATGAGTAATAATAAAATCAGTGAAAAATTGGTTTTTGTACAGTTCCAATCAATTTTCCATGCAACTTAGCTTTAAAGAAATTTATCTTCATGAGAAATATGTCAGCCAAATCCCAGTTGAGGGACAGTATACAAAATGTCTGAACAGTGCTCCTTGAAACTATCAAGGTCATCAAAAACAAGGAAAGTGTGTGAAASCACCACAATCAAAAGGAGCCATAATCTCTAAGAAGACATGAGGACTTAATGTCAAGTGGCATCCTAGTTGGGGTCCTTGGCCAGAATAAAAGATATTAGGTTAAAAAAACTAAGAAAAGACAAATAATGTGTAGATCTCAAAGATTAGTAATGTATCAATTTTGGTTCATTAATTGTGACAAATGTACTGTATCAATGCACAGTGTTTCTAATAGGGAGGCTGGGGGTGGGGCATATGGGAACTTCAAATCATCCTCCCACCTGTTTGGTAAATCTGTCTAAAATAAAATTTTAAATAAATCTAAAGCTGTATAAAATAAAATTTTATTAAAAACATATAAATAAGTTAGTGTCTATGAGAAACTTCCTTAATCTTATTTTCTCATCATCTTGAGTAAAAGTTGACCAAAACCAATGGTAAGTGTACTTAACGACACTCATCTTTACTGAGTGCGGACGACAGTCACTGTGCTAAGAGCTTTACATGCATTACCTTATTCAGTTCTCAGAAAGACCCTGCAGGGTAGGAACAACTATGAGCCCACTGTACAGGTGATCAAACGGGAGGAACTGCTCAGTTCTTCAGCCCTGTTCACAAAGCAGCTTTTGGTTGCAGAACCCACATATTATGATACTATTCTGCACTTCATAGAGAGTGGCCACAGATGCAAAAATCACAAGTCAGTTGAAATTAAGGACCGTGAATCTTCAGACTTAAAATATGCTGATAAGCGAGGCTGGGCTGATGGGGCTTGAGTGACAACCCCACACTCTGTGTGCGCAGCCTGGGAGACGTGCCATTCGTGTGTCATCCAACGGTAACATGCTTGTGAAAATTCATATTCTTTGAAGGATGATTAATTAATCTGACAGGTCTAGATTATGACAAATGACCCAGAAGGGAAAGAATCAGTCAGCAGGCTCTGCCCCGAACACAGCCCAGACCTGCACCATTTAGGCTTCCTGTCACAACCACTGCCCTCTCTGTGTGCATCTTGGGGCTCTGCTTCCTCTGCCCAAGCAACCCTGTATGCACACTCCATCCCAGGGACAAGGAGTCAGGCTGGTTCTCCCYAGAGATCTCTCATGGATCTCCAAGCATGTGTTAGAGCCATCTTGAACACTGTTTTTAACCCCAATTCTCGGGCTTGAACACCTACAGAAATGTGAAGTCCATGCTCTCCAAATGCAGCCCATTTTGGTTCCCTAAGTATCAACATTAGAGACAAAAGACCCAGCCGCAGACTTTTCCCCAGGCTAGCACTCCTCTGGTCCTTCCCAGTGGCTCCCAAACTTGGGGGTGAGACTCATGAGCCTCCTTCTTCTTTTTATCTCTCCTACCAAGACCCAACCCTCAGTGAGTCCTGGTATCTCTTCCTTGAAAGTCCACTCCAAAGCAGTCTGCCCTTATGTCCTTGCAGACGCCCTCCAGCCCCAGCCACACTCCCCTCTTGCTTGAACTGGCCAAGGATACTGAGAGATATCGGCATGCCGTGACTCATCTGAAAAGTAGAATCACCTGATATTTCCATTTCCACCTACCTAACTTGTCGTGTCTCAGCTGTTTCCAACCTTGGATGATGAAAAAGGCTCTGTATTAACTCCTCTGAACTCCGTATAATTCTTAGAATTGCATGATACATATACTTTGGGGAAGAAGAGGGTATTGGGGATTGAACTCAGGGGCACTCAACCACTGAGCCACATCGCCAACCCTATCTTGTATTTTCTTTAGAGACAGGGTCTCACTGAGTTGCTTAGTGCCTCACTTTTGCTGAGGCTGGCTTTGAACTCAGGATCCTCCTRTCTCAGCCTCCCAAGCCACTGGGATTACAGGTGTGTGCCACCGTGCCTGGCCCATGATACATAGACTTTTTTATTTTTATTTTTTAGTTATAGGTAGACACAATATCTCTATTATATTTTTATGTGGTGCTAAGGATCAAACCCAGCACCTCAAGCATGCTAGGCACGTACTCAATTTCTGAGCCACAACCCCAGCCCATCATGATACATATACTTTTAACACACAAAGTGGAGGACACACATATACAGACATGTTTAATTTTTATGAATTAATTTTAATTTAGAGATGTAGCATAAACATTTTTAATTTATAGATATAAAAATCTATAAATTGATAGATGATTTTTAATTTATTGATCTTGGTCAGATAACCCTCTCCCAATTCACCTTTTCCCCAATTCACCTTTTCCCTAGGTACGAGGCCAAGAGGCCCTAAACCAAAGTTACATCCTCAGACTCTGGTTGGCTGCTGCCATCTGCAGCCTGCTTCATCCATGTCTCTTTCCTCTTAATGTTTCAGAGTCATCTGTCCTTTCCTTTGAGCATGGTGTTCTCCAGGCTGTGGTGAGCTGTCAGGGGGACTGCATGTGCTTTGGGGGCCCCAAGGCATACAGGGCCAGAAGGGCCAGGCTTATCCCAGCCCAGGGCTCTGCTAATATACTCCAAATCACAGGATGAAGCAACCATGTCAGAATGTCCCTAACTGAAGACATTGCATGCACCACAGGTACAGGGACTTCCTGTGGTGGCTTCCAAATCCTTCCAAGAGCTACTACAAATTGGACACCATCTCTAGGAACTTCTCCCAGGATGAGGGGATGCCAAGAAGGGCTTCAGAGAGTTTCCAATAGGACTGGAAGGACTTCCACAATGAAGCCATTGAGCTTGGTTTGGAGTATAAGCCAGGGAGACTTCATTGCCAAAGACTCCCACTCCATTCTGCTTCCTAGATGATGATAGCATTTACACCCCAAGGAAAGGACGCTGGCCTTCACATCCTGTCATGTATAGCATAATGGCCTGCAGTCAACAATGGACTGCATGTCTGACAAAGGTCCTGTAATATTGTATCACCTAGTGAGGCTATAGCCAACTTAGTTCATGTAAGTGGGCTCCATGATATTCACAAAATGATGAAATTGACCAACGGTACATTCCTTGGAATGCATTCCCATCATTAAGCAATATATGACTCTCCCTGTCTTCACACAGGGACCCTTATGAGGGGCTAAAACAAAATCAGACTCCAGGTATGATTCCAGGAAATTATGTCACAAGTTGTGGCAGTGGATTGGATCCCATGGTGTTTTGTATGTGTGGAACATAAAACGGTGACTGAGAAACCAGAGGTTTTCGCCTTCAGCTCATGAGTGTTTCTGCCATTCACAAACCAGTTGTCTTAATTAAAATGCTGCTAAAAGAAGCAAATCAATTAACAGATCCCTTACAAGATGGTTTATTCTATCTTACACACAGAAAATTGCTTATGAGTACCACGTTACCACTTTAGGTTATCAGTTAACAAAGGCTGCTAATGAACAACATTGTTATCAAGTTAGATAAAAGATGCCCTGGGAATCCAGGCAAATTATTATAACACAGCACTTTTTTTTTAAAATATAGCTCATCTTTCATCATACATAAGGAGAGTTAACCCAATTTAAGGAGAACCAGTCCACAAAGGCACCCAGATTTTTGCAGAATGGAAAGGCAAAGAGACTTCCATAAGGCATTCCTAGAAATATGGGGTTAATGATACTGGCAAGGGGAATGTTCATGGAGCCCATGCCACAGAATATTAGGCTGCTGACAGTAAGAGAATGACGTGGGTTTCCTGAGCCTCTGCCAGTCTTGTCTTCCATGTGTGCACCATACAAACTATAAAACTCACCAYAAAATAATTATCTGAGGGATAACAATGATAACTTCTGTTTGTGCTGTTCTTCACAAGGCACACCATCTGCTTTCTCGTTTAATCCTTTGTTGGCTCCTTCATTTGGAGATCTGCACAGCCACAGGCCCAGCCCATGGCTGTCAATGGCACTTTCTTTCACTCCAGGCCAAGCTACCATTTCTCCCTTAGAAGGTCAATCATGGATAGCGTTGGAGACTGGCTCATGGTCTCCATGTTTCCTGGCAGCTAAGAAGTTGAGGCCAATGGTTCTGCAAGTGCTATTTAATTGTTGATAAGACGATGGTGCTGAGGAAGCTGCGTCTTGTGTTTGGTTCCCATTTCCATGAGTCAATGCTGTGGGTAGGTTCCATTGATGTGGACATGATGACCTTGTAGAAGCATGAACAGCTCCAACAGGGTGGACCAAGCTAGATGATGAGCATTCATTGGCTTCTACCTTTTTCTTACTGTTGGATAACGTTAACTTCTGGTAGAAAAGGAGTAATACTTTCTCTCAGAGCAGAGACACTCTTGATTATAGTCCTCCTATTATTTTCCTTRTATATTGAGTCCACCTGAAGTTTCATAACCAGCCTTCAGTGCTCAAATTCAAAACATTTTGAGATTCTATTGTCTAGACAGTTGAGTCTCTCCCAATGTAGCCACTTGTTTACAACTCAATCACCTGAGCATCTCTGGAAAGAAAGAGAAAGATCTGGAAGATATTTAGACAAAGAGACTTGGCTTTGACTAATCACTGTGAGCTTATGCACCACATTAAGCACCTGTGAAGGAGTTCATCAGCACTGGCAGCAAGCTGGGACGTGTGTGTGTGTGTGTGTGTGTGTGTGTGTGTGTGTGTGTGTGCAGCTTACAAAGAGGCCTGAAGGCCAGTGGCTTCCAGGTAAAGGAGAATTTTCCAGATAAAGCTCAACCTTGAGGTGGTTTTGTGCCTGCCCAGCTGAAGACCACAAAACCTCATCTGCTTTGGTGAAAAGGGAAGAAGTCATCCCTAAGGTCAGAAGATATATTTGGGGACAAGTGTCACTTTCTAAAGTTGAAGAGTTTATACAGACCGGGGCAGATGCTATGAAGAACAAAGTAGATAGACCTATGTGAAGATAGGTAGAAAGTCTTGCCTTTAAGTCTGAACCATAAGCTGTTAAATGGATGAGACTTTCTATATTTAGTCTAGCAGCCTAGACAGGAGGGAAGGGAAGCATTGATGTGTTTTAAAAAAAGACGAAGACAGAAGAAAAGGTCAGAGCACCAAACCAGACCCTGATAAGAGTTATATAATTATATAATAATGAAAGCATGTATTTATGTTTACTTCAAATGCTGCATAATTATATATGGTATTCATTATGTACATTCAGTCACAATATCTTGACATCTTGACATCTCCCCAGGGGAGAGGGAAAAGCAACAGCAGAAAGAGGAGAGAGAAACATTAACCAACAAGCCAGGCAGGGGCCACAAAATACATATCACAGGTCTGTCTAGGCTGCATGTGAAGACCAAGGAGGTCAAGGTCAAAGATACAGAGTTTTGGGCAGATGAGGCAACACTGAAGACAAGTGAGTTGCAAACAAGCAAGTCATGGTGAGGGAGAATGGAGAGAGAAATGGAGGAAGGTATTCTAAGAGAGGGCATCCAATGCTGTTTGAGGATCTACCTTAAAGAACAGTTGATCCAGAAGAACACAGAGTTCCAATCTGCTGAGCTGGACACCCACCAGCTGAGCAGAGAGTTCATTTCTCCTATTGATTTAATAAGCCCTGAGTTAAAAGGCCCCTGCCAGTGTTGTTAAGGAGGGGATATTTAGTGTCTGGATGTCCCAGAATTTGCATTTGAAATACTGATGCCCAGAGTGGGTGAGTACCACAGAAGGGCAGGCCACTCTTGTTCCTGGCAGCTCTGAGATGAGGGAAGTGGCACCTGCTGAGCTATTTCATGGAGGAAGTTGACCTCTGACAGGCAGGGATGATTCTGGATGGGTGTATCCTAAGTCATAAGGGAGCCAGGGACAACCTACAGTAAAAGGCAAGCTGAGCAGAAGCTAGGATGGCATCTGCTGGCTGGATGAGTAAGTGAATTAGGCCACATGATACCTTGGACTGGTACAGGGAAAGGGAAGGAGTCTGGGGATATTATGCAGTTGTAGTGGCTATTAAAGCCAATGTTTCACCACATCCTCCAAAGATCATAGAAGCCAATAAGAAGAGAAGGTAAACTAAATAAACTAATATGTACCTCTATGTTCTGGCTAATGGGAATATCAGGTTATATCATTTAAGGATGAGTTAATGATTGCTAATGCTAAAAAGATTTGTTTAAAAAAATCCAGTGGCCATTTCGGGGTAGGAAGGATAGTAGAATGAATCAGACATTATTACCCTATGTGCATATATGACTATATAACCGGTATAATTCCATATCCTATACAACCAGAAGAAGGAGAAGTTATATTCCATTTAAGTATGATGTCAAAATGCATTCTACTGTCATATATAACTAATTAGAAAAAAAATTTTTAAAAACTCAATAACATAGAGTCTGATGGAAGCTTCCCTTACATCATAAAATATATGCACTTCAGCCGCAGAAAATATATGCACTTAAACCAACATCTTATTTAATGGACACCACTGTAGTATTTCTCACCAAGATCAGGTGCAAGGCAAGTCTGTGCACTGTGTCCACTGTTATTTAACATGGATAGTTTTCCCCCAATACAGTCAGAAAGGAGAAAACCATTAGAGGCATAAGAATTGAGAAGGAAGATATGCAAACTAAAGGGGATAGAGGGAAAAACAAACACAATAAAAACATTCAATAAGGAAACCACTGTGGTGTTAACAGACGAAAGAGGGGGTCAATATACAGTCAACAACCAGGTAGGAGACTTAATGGGAAATTATCTTTTAAAAACAACAAAAACAGCAGAAGGGGAAGGAAGCGGTACAGTCCCATCCCCCACAGCGGACACTCCACCGAGGCAGTCAGCTGCCACCATCCGGTAAAGCTGAAGGATACACCGCCACTCTCCTTCAGAGTGCAACATCAAAACAGGTTTGTGTCATTCAGCTCACCCCCAGACATCGGGAATTCGCATAAAATCTCTCCTAGGCTTGCCGGGAGAGGGAGTATCAAGCTGAGCCTCCATAAAGACTAGGGGGAAACTAGAGACACCTGACCTCCAACCCCTCCTCCCAGTAGCAGCCA